GGTTTTGCAACATGTCACTAAGGAAATATCAATGGTAGTTAGTGAGGGAATTGGAGTTCTGTATTTGCAAGGTAATAACTTTAAATTAGTGAGAAGAATGTGCGACAGATTAACGAGAGATCTTTCCCTCTCTAATTCACAATTTTCTTATAGTGTTTCAAAATCCAACACCTACTTTAGATATTAAGCAAATTAGTAAGCATTTAATTATAATCAAGGTACATGCAACACCAAATTCTATTAACAATCAAGTCTTATCTTCCCTTATCTTGATTATGAGCTATCCAAAACGAAGAATAGAAATGAGGAAGGGTTTTGAGTTTTTCGACAATGAAAGAGTGGAAGAAGAAGGAAATGGGTTTAGTGAGTTTCATACCACCTAGATCATCTGAGCTCTAACCATTTGCAAATACCACCAGCTACCAACACCCAATGCTAAGGCTCCCTAAAAGTTAAAAGAAATAGTAGATGAAGAGTTTAATAATTAAAACTTTCAGCCTACCACTGTCCAGTCACACAACATAAATTAGCCCAAGAAAAGTCCTCTCATTAGAACAATATTACAATGTCAAGTATCATGTAAGATTGATATCCCTGATCCTTAATGAGGATCTTTGTCATTTCGTCAACAAATTGCATCAATTAATCATGATATTGATCGAATTTGACATTTAGAAGACAATACGTATATAAAGGTTTAGTTTGTAAATAATAATAATATAGGTCTATATTAATAATAAAAGATAATAGGTTTATTTCATTTTCATATTTTTCTTATCTATTTTATCTTTAATATATAACTATCATATTTAATTTGCATAGTAAATTAAAAAAATTCATTATTAAGCTAAGAAAAATGACAATAAATATGTTTTTTAACATAATAAAAATAATATAATTATTAAACTTATTGTATATGTCAATTTATATTTAGATGACAATTTAAAAAATATTTATAATATTTTTTTTCACAAAGTATCTATAATGTTGGTTGATGAATTATTTACATGGTAAAACTTATTTTTGATTCTTCTAAAAAATTTTAAATTTGGTTTTAGTTCCTAAAAAAATATTTTATTTTATTCCTTTAATTAAAAATGTGATACTTTTACTAAATAATTTAGATATCACTAAATAATTATTTTTAAATGCTATCTAAATCATTTTAAAGATTCAAAGTAGTATATTTTTAAATTAAAGATATCAAAATAGTTTTTAAAAAAAATTAAAATCAAATTAAAGAAAATTTAGAAAGATGAAAAACATATTTTTCTCTATATCATATTACCCAAAATAAAAGTTAAAATTAACTTTACAGAGAATATAGTTGCTCATGTAATGATGGTAGAAACGGATCTTGAAGAGTCATTCAATCACAAATTTATCCGTTCATAGAAACCAGTAATAAATTTTTAACTAAATTCTGTAGTTCAACTCAGACTTATAAAGAATAAATAATAAATAATAAAGCAATCTATATGGGCCTACTCACAAAGCATGGGCCTATGCATACTTTGTTGTCGCCTGGTTGGCAGAAACATCATGGGCCTATGCGGACTTCAAAATTATTGGCAAGGCCAACCTTGGTGCCGCTGCAGTATGAAATTGACTAAGAAATTGACTAAATAATACTAGTTATAAAATGTTGATATTGATTATCATTTCATTAGCAACACGTTGTGCTTGTTTTCCTTAAGTTCATTCATGTAAAGCATTTTTTATATATATTTTTTATCTTGTATTGATTCATACAAGGTCTTAACATCAACTTGCATGTTTGCTTGTTAAGGTTTTCCTCACACCTTAATTTATCTTCTTTTTTTTTAATCTAAGTTGGGAATTTTGGTTAAATGACTTCCAATTTCACAAATATGGTCATATAATCCAAGTTATCTTAAATATATATATATATATATATATATATATA